CTTCTATTAACCTGTTTAAGGCTTCTATTAACCTGTTTAAGGCTTCTGTAGTTTATTTTGATATAATAATATAATACACCGAATATATTTTATTCAATTACGTAACGCAACCTTCAAAACTTCAAACTGGAATATCTTTATACCAAACTTTTCAGAATGGTAAACCGAAAACAAAATTTGTTCAGGATTTTCAACTCCATGTTTTCACATATTTTTCATAATTTGTATGCATCTAAACTCCATGTTTTCACATAATTTGTATGCATCTGTTGATGCATACAAATTATGTCAACAAGAATGTATATGGGAGTTTGCCATTGTTCTTTTACTGAATAATGCACAATTTATTTTGCTATAATTATAATTAGATGAATTGCATAGACAAAGTTTATGTGTACTATGCAAATAATATCTCACAGTTAAGTTAAATAATAATGTTACCATATCTTGCCCTACTAATATTTATACAGTTATTCTAAAACTCAATATTAAGCCGAGACCAGGATGTTGTCCAGTTTATAATGCGTCCTGTACAGCATTTTTAGGTACTTCGATTACAAATTTGCAAATTTTAAGAATTTTTGTAACGATTATCCAACCACAGAAATCTAAATAAATATTTATTTATTTATATTTCTGTGAGCCCAACTATTGAATACAATGCCAAAAAAGCCTAAATTGCTCAAGTTTCAGAACAAAAAATAAATGTGTTTAATTTGTAGTCTGCCAATGTTTGATCTTGGTTTTGCTTATACTTTCTTTCAGGTAACGCCCACCCAACAAGCTGCTTATATTACCTCTGTATAACCTAAAAGTTGTATATTAGATGTTTAAGGGATGTACTATAGTTCTCCAGTAGTGTATTCAAAAGTAATTATACAGGCACAAGTCATACAATCGCCGTACAACGGTGAATGTAATTCCAAGAGAGATACAAAGACTAGTCAGAGAGCTGTTGTATGGGCTTTTATGTAAAGCAGAGTTATAAAGTTATAAAACCTTTTATAACACCGTGAGGTCTTGTAGAGGGCTTTTGAAGTTAGAAGTGTTTAAATGGAGTTATTAGCTTCCTGTAAAACGCTTTAGGTGGTATATCGTATGTTTTCTAAAGCTTTTATAACACCTTGAGGTCTTGTAGAGGGTTTTGAAGTTAGAAGTGTTTGAATTGAGTTATTAGCTTCGTTTAAAATGCTTTAGATGGTATATAGTATGCTTCTAATGCCTGGAGCTGTTAAATAGATTTTACTACAGCCTTTGGAACTAAACTAAAAAAAAAACTACAGTATCGTTTAGGCCGCCATATTTGAGAATTCTACTGCAACTTTACTTCTAAAAACGTACAATAGCGCGTCAATACCACAATTGTAAAACCGAAAGGTCTACAACGGTGAATACTAGCGGCTATATCGGTAGAACGGTCTTAGAAAACTCTAAAGGTTGTTGTAACAGAGACGCCATTACAGTTTTTAATAAAACCAATTTTTTAGGTTATTTATATATATTTTTAATATCTTAAAATTTCATATATAAAAACCGAATTCACTTCACTCTTTCTCACCCATGACGCTAAAGAAACTTCCAGCAAATCTAAAATATCTTATTTAAACTTAATTCAATTACAACAACTTTACACACTCTAGTTAAATTTACTTTTTACATAAAAAACTGCAAATGTAGGAGGTGCCTAAAAATTTTAGCTAAGATATATGTACACATTTACAATAAACTGGCACTCGCACTTTTATTTTGCATGTATTAAACGGAAAACTTTTTTTATCAAACATTTTTTATTTGCAATCGTATCCTCCCTCACTTTCCACTTAGCAAGGTCAAGGTCTTTATGAGCAATAAAATGTGTTTTGTTTATTTACCCAAAATATAGGTGCTGTATATCTAGTATAGCGTCGTAAACTCTAATTCAGAGATGCAGTCGCGTCTAAATACGATGCTAGCGCTATAGTCGCGCTACAAGAACTTATTTATATGCTTAGGCGCACATTACCGCTCGCATAGCTCCTTGTATTACTTAGGCGCACATTGACCGTTCTCATAGCACATTTGTATTACCTAGGCGCACATTAACCACTTGCATAGTACCATTGTTTTACTTAGAACATTTTCCCTCGCACATTAGCCGCGCGCATCTTCTTTCTCTCTCCTTTGTATCTTCGTACTAACACACATTTACGACCATTGTAGGGCCCATAGTGTATAAATCGGTGCCCATTTTGGGGGTATAGCGGCGCTGTAACCACTTATACGTCTATTGTAGAACTTATTAATGCAGCCTATGCCGTTATTAAGAACTTCTAACTGGCTATTGCACGGCTTGTTATTAGAGCTTGTGTGCTAGTTGGGCAGTAAACGAAATCTAGGGGGTTCAAATCTAATTCAAATTATGAATAATATCTGTTAACTATTAAAAGCAAAACATTTACCACATTTATTGTTTGTTCTGAAACTTTAGCAATATGGGCTTACTTCGGCATTGTGGTCATTAGCTAGGCTATTTAGGTTATCATTGTAAATTTGTAATCGTAGTACCTAAAAATGTTGTACACGACGTTGTTGAAACCAAAACAAACTGAGGTTGTTGTAAATCGGTCCCGGCTTATTGTTGACTTAGGGACACCCCGTATAATGTTTTAATATGATTTTTTAATGGATTGATTTTTGTGTCGTGTTCTTAGATTTGTGATTTTTACACATTGGAGATGAAACTATTTTGTCGGATTTAAATCGCGTATTTTGTTTTGTCAAGCAAACCACCCTTTACAGGACCCATGGTCACAGCTGACTCAGTCAGTCACTCAAACTTAGTTTGTTTGAAAAAAAAAAACAAATATACGCGATTTAGATCCAAAAAGATAGTTTCATTTCTATAGATTTTTGTAGTTTTTAGCATATTATGTAATAAGGTAATTTAATACAACGAAATCCCTGAATGTATTCTATTGTTTTGTGGCATGATTGTTTTTGTGCAACTAACATTGCATTGAAAGGTGAGCTGTATATATGTATGTTGCAGTGAAATTCCCAGGCGGAGGCGGCGGCGCGACAGGTGGAGCGGGGGAAGCTGATGAGGAACCGCTGGCGCTCGGCGAGCTGGCGCAGCTCACCGTTAGCAATGAGCCCGAAGCCTACGACGTCAATAGCGCCAACAAGGAGTCCTTCCGCAAGACCTGGAATGCCAAGTACACGTTGCGCTCGCACTTCGACGGGGTTCGTTATCAATTATTTTTTGTCGCTAATACCACTTATAGGGCTGTATACCAGAACTCTACTCAATACTCAAGTCAGGACTTAAGTATTGCAGTGAGCACTGAAAATCATACTCAAGTCCTTGCCATTAGAGTCGTATTTCCAGTGCTTGAAATCATACTCAAGTCTGCTCAAGTCCTGACTTGAGCATTGAGTAGAGTTCTGGAATACGACCCATAGAGTAATTGGCCTATTTTTATTTTCAAATCGCTTCTAGTGTGCCTGTACGATATTTTGTTTTTTAGGTTCGAGCGCTAGCATTTCACCCGACGGAGGCGGCGCTAGTGACCGCGTCGGAAGACCATACATTAAAGCTTTGGAATCTCCAACGCACTGTACCCGCGAAGAAGTCGGCCGGACTGGACGTGGAGCCGCTGTACACGTTCCGCGGGCACACGGCGCCCGTACTGTGTTTGGCGATGGGCGCGCCGCGTTCCGAGGAGTGTTTTTCGGGCGGGCTGGACGGCACCATCCGCGTGTGGAATTTGCCGCCACCCACGGCCGACCCCTACGATCCGTACGACCCCGCCGTGCAGGGTCCGGTGTTGGTGTGGCACACGGACGCTGTGTGGTCGCTGGCCAGCGCCCACGGCCGGCTGCTGTCAGCGTCGGCCGACGGCACGGCGCGCCTCTGGGCACCGCGAGCTGCGCGCCCACTATTGGCCACGCTGCGCGTTGACGACGCGCCCACCGCGCCTGCGCCTGCCGCCGCTGACTTCGCCGATGCGGGCGCGCGCGCCGCCGTCGTGTACCGCGACGGCTCCCTGCTGCTCTACGACCTTGAGACCACGCAGGTCTGGCCGCTTTCCGTACTTCGAATCGCTCCACATTCTAAATGTTAAACAGGACGTTCTAACTGCGCGCTCGTTCCTTTCCAGCCTGTGCTTCGCGTGTCGTGCGACAGTCCGGCCAACCGTGTGCGGTCGCACCCGACGCTCCCGCTCCTGGTGACGGCACACGAGGACCGCCACATCCGCTTTTGGGACGCGGTGTCCGGCCGATGCGCACATGCTATGGTGGCGCACCTGGACGCTGTAACGGGACTGGCGTTGGACCCTAACGGGCTGTTCCTGCTATCGGGCTCGCACGACTGCTCCGTGCGCCTCTGGAACCTTGACACCAAGACGTGTGTGCAGGAGATCACTGCGCATCGCAAGAAGTTCGACGAGAGCATCTTGGACGTGGCGTTCCACCCGCTGCGGCCCTACATCGCGAGCGCCGGCGCTGACGGTCTCGCCAAAGTGTTCGTCTGAGCGCCCCACCCTATATACATAGTATATATATATATATATATATATTACATGTAATTTTACTTTCGTTACGAAATCTTAAGCGCAGTAGCGAGTGCGGATCAGGTCGCTCTAGGCCGTAGCGGGGGCGAAGCACGGCGTCGGCGCAGATCTAGTCGCGGGGCCGGCGCGCCCTCTCTTCAACGTATTTAATATTGTAATGGACGCTCGACGCTCGTTATAAGCGCGTAGTGAACACTCATCTATGTATAGACATTTGAAATCTATTATAATATATTTTTAGACTTTCAGTATGTGGATTTTAGGTTTTTATTGCGACTTTTTCACCGATTTACGATACGCAGTGAGAATATTGTTCGTTTCTAAGCCTCTGTAAGCGAGACCTTGTAATAAATATCATGTGGATATCGACGAAGTTTCTTTGGTACGTCTTTATGTTACGTGTCTGTACAGTTAGATGTTATGCAATATTTGGTAATCTTTTGCAAGAACGAATGGTGTTTCTTAGCTAGTATGTTTTATTTAAATCGATTGGATTTCTATAGAGAATGTTTTTGTTTTGTGACATGTTAATGATTGATAAAACATGTTCTCATAATATTTTACGCGGATGATGAGCGATCGAACAAAATATGATGATTAGAAGTACTATATCGAAAATAACATAAGTAATGTTTGTTCATAACGAGTACTGCGATGTAGAATATATAATATAAAACATTACATATTCCTTTATTTTCCTCGAATTCATACTTGTACACATACATCCAAAATTGATAGTAAAAAGCAACATAACCGAACTGCATGTTGTTTTTTTAAATTATTTTTATCGCTATCCCTTTAGAATACCAATCTAATGAGCTGTGTCTTAAAACATTGAAATTGGTAAAGGTTTTATTTATCGTATAACCAAAATATTAAATTTGTTAATCTGACAGCTCATTGGAAAACGATATCATGCGAGCTTATACAAAAAACAAGGTGTGCCTATACAGCACATATCGAGAAAATTTTCGCGCTACATTCAGCGTTAAAAAGACCCGTACGATCGACATCTAAATTGGTGCATAAATCAAATAAGTTGTTAATGTTATGGATAAGCAATAAAGTATTGAGCTTACTTAGTACCTATTGAGTAACAAATAAAAATATAAGTGCACATTTCACAAAAAGTTGTGCTGCCCTAATGAAGTTTTCAGTTCTATTTGATGCTGACTGTATATCAAAAGAAAATAGAAATGTGTAAGGCGTGATGAGTCTCTACCAAAGCAGTGAAGGGAGAAGGGAACAGGATATAATCTCGGTTACCTATCACTAGTCCGAAATGACATTTTCCAGAAATAACGTTTGCTCGAAATTTCATAACCTCTAAAGTAATTTAGAGAGGAAAATGTTTTTTCTTTTTAATCTAACTTTTTTTTTATTAATCCGGGGGAATCTGCTTACAGATACCCCGGCCCCGCGGGGGCAGAACCGGGGTTATGTGGGACTGGGCTGAACCCTGAAGGGGAGCAGCCCGACCGCACTAAACCCCCGCAGTGTTCCTCCTCTCCGCTGTAGGTGGGGGTACGGGTACGCTGTTGCACTCGTCCGCGCCCCCACCAGCGGCTGGCCGCGCCCTGCGCAGCCCCTCCCCGAGAAGGGAGACACATCGGTCCCCCGACTCCGAATGTGAGGTTCGCCGAACACCAGACGAGCCTTCCATCCCGGGTGCCTTTACGCTGGGCAACGAACTCCCCCGAGTCGGCTACCCAGGGGCCATGGGGGGCCAGGACAGCATCCACTCAACTGTGAAGTTCAGTGGCTGCTCCCCCAGCCCCCGCGGCGGATCTGATGGCAGGCTCTGCCGCAACACCTAACGCGCTTCCGCGCGGACTCTCCGAAGAGAGTCCCTTGGAGCGCCCACCACGGGCCAACCGCCCACGTTCGGCCGCGGAGGATAGGACGAGCGGCAACGACACACCGACACGTTTCTTCCCCCGCGGCCCCGCCGCCACTGCATCATTGAAAGCGGTGTAATCTAACTTAACCTAACCTTTTTTTTTATTACCGTGAGGAAAATGCGTTACGCATTCCCCGCCGCTGGGAGACGGCGGGGATATGTGGGACTCTCTCCTGGGGACTATGTCGATCCCCAAGAGCATACCCACTAAAAACCTCACGATGTTCCTGCGCGCACCTGGCGCCGGAGCCGCGGGGTCCCTTTCAGATGCTACCGCGACTCCGGTGGCGCTAGTCCGCCTTTGGGCGGACCCCTACACCATCCCCTCCTTAATCATGAGGGGCTACCTGCACGGAGATGCCCCGGAACATTTGGGGCATCTACCGGCGGCGGAGGCCTGTGCAATGCAGGGCAGGGTCTCCCAACCCCGCACCCTGCTGGCCTCCGCTGATGGGACGCAGGCGGTCGGCGAAGAGCCGTCGCGTACGTCCTCTCCGCCGACGCCGAATGGGGTCCGAGAGGGCGCTGTCTTCGCGCTGTCTTCCTGGAGACCCGTTCGGCTGTCTCCTTCTGCGACATCACGTCCTCGCAGAAGGAGACCATCGTCTGCCATGACCTCTCGCTTCCCAATATGGCTTTAACTATGCTGGGCAGTGAGAGGTCTCGTCCCACCATCTCTACGAGATCCCGGCGCTGCTGGCTCCAGGTCGGGCACACCTCCAAGGTGTGGCTCGCCGAGTCTGTGGCAGCCTGCGATCTTGTGCAGGTAGTCACCGAAACAGCCGTGTCCGGTGAGTACCTGAACAAGACGGTAGGTGAGTGACCCGTGCCTCCTCTAGCGCAGAAGCGGCCGCAGTCTGGTGGTGAGGGCCTCCGCCCAGAGGGCCATGCTCCGTATGACGCCAGCATAAAGCCGACGACATAGGGAGCTGGGTCCCACATTTGGCATAAGGCGCCCAAGCGCCGCTGCGGCGGACACGAGTCGCGGCGACAGCCGGTGGAAGTGCTCATTGAAGTTCCACCGGCTGTCCAGGGTGAGCCCAAGATACTTTATATGAGGGCTCACCCCGACCCTCCTACCTCCCACCTCCACCCAGGAGCTGGGCGGAGGCCCTCGACCGAGACCATAGAATGCGAAAGGCGACCGTGAGCCCGAGCTCCCCAATGCGGCTGACCACTAGGGCGCTTCCCTTCATGGCCAGTCGCGTAGACGCTTCCCCCCAATTCCGCCCCCGGGCGCAGACTAGAGTGTCATCTGCGTAGCAGATGACACCCAGTCCAACGGGGAGAGATCCTCGGAGTACGTAGTCGTACCCGAGGTTCCACAATAGCGGGCCAAGAACCGAGCCCTGTGGAACCCCGCGGCACATGCTCCGCTCCCTTATCTCCCCGGTCAAGGAAGGAGATCTTCCTCCCGGTGAGGTAGCTCGACACCATCTGCCTCAGGTGTTGAGGCAGGAGGTGGAACTTTAGGGCCTCCTCGATGACGGAGATCGGGAGACTGTTGAACGCGTTGGTGATGTCCAACGACACCGCCACAACAATCCCCCGCTCCGCCTTGGCCCTCCTCACCTGTCTCCTTAGCTCCGGTATCGCATCGATGGTCGAACGCCCAGCCCGAAATCCGAACTGGTTCGACGACACATCGGGGCCCACACTGTCGAAGTGCTCGATGATGCGGGCAGCGAGCACTCGCTCGAAGAGCTTACCCGCCTCATCGAGCAGCACGATGGGCCGATACGCTGATGGGGACTCAACCGGACGCCCTTCCTTCAGGAGGAGGCAAAGGCGGCCCTCCTTTCACACCTGGGGGAAGCTCCCCGACGCCAAGCTGGCGTCGAAGAGCTTCAATACGCGTTCACCCAAATGTTCCAACGCAAGTGCCAGGACTTTCCCTGGCACACCGTCCGGACCGGGGGCCTTTCATGTGGCTCTGAGCCGGTCCGCTGCCGCCTTTAGTTCCTGTGTGACTGGAGGAACTGTATCGGCCTGTTCCGGCTCCGCAATCGGCGGAGCCATGGAGGGAGGAGAGAAACTCTCATCCCCCTCCGGGAACAGGTCAGCCACCACTTGACCGTGGAGCTCCGTCTCCATCGTCTCGGCGGGGGGCGCCCGGTGCTGCAACTTGTTGCGCACCATCTTGTACGGGCACCAGGGGTCCTCATCCAACGTGGCCAGGAAATCCTGCCGGGCCAGATCTTGGGCCCGGCTTATGCCGACTCGGAGCTCCTCTTGCGCCGCCTTATAAACTTAACCTAACCTAACCGAACCTAATCGTGTCTGTGATGAACATCCAACATATCCTGAAAGAACAACGGTTTCGTTATAATTCGGTTTTCGGTGTAATGAAAATTGTATACACGTTATTTCGGAAAAAAAATTCGAGTTTGTGATAGGTTACCTATAATATCATGGAAGAATGGTATACGTGGAGTTACGTCAAAAATGTTTATTGGCTTCATTAGATACAGAAAAATATAACCCACATCCTCTCCAATTCTTGTAACTCTATCTACAATATTAGTGATGATTAGTAGAAATATGTTCGATTAGCCTTTTAGTGGACTTCATAGAAAATATTAAAGACTTGATGGGTGACTTTTGTTGCTTTAAAACTAAACAGCTTCAGCGATATTAGATCTACCTATAATGACAAAAGTTTAGTGTTTTATCCGATCCCCAATGATGTCCTGGACCTTAATTTGTCTACGGATTTCGGAATTCGAAACCCGTCTTTTTTAGTTGGTGCACAGCTCCTAAGAGATCGTCCAGGGAAGTACCGCGACTATACGTATTTCCATTTTCGTTCCGTTTTGAAGGGTAAGGGTAAAATTGCAGAGACATGGGACTGACTCTGGACGAGTGCAGAGGCAGTGCTGAACAGATCTTTGCGGTTTAAACATCTGAGTAGCACTTACCACCGGGCGCACGATCGCACGAACGTGCTTGTTTCATCCATATCACTTGGTATTATGTAAAAAAGTTTTATACTGCGCATGTACTCTGTATGGCTCTCTGTGCAACTCTCCTTCTTTCTGAACGTCCATGTCTAGGCACCTTAGGCTAAGTTCAGATGAAATGAAATGTTGCTCGTCACAAACAGGCGTAAGAGTAGAGACATTTATAGGTAAAAACAAAATTGGGCATGCTGTTTTGTGGTTCCCGAGAAAAGTATACAAGATCCTATATTACAAGTCACCAGGCTTCCACTCTGCAGATGAGCAATAAGGTTGTGGCACTGTGGTTGTGATACAGAAAAATTTATAAAAGTATTTTATGATCCGACAACTAGCACATAGAAAAAATTCGTGAGGTCCGCTGGGTCGTTCCGTGGCTTCGTTGGCATAGCGTCTGGCACGGTTTGCTAGGAGACGTCGGTTCGAATCTTTGTATTAATAATTATAACAAACTAGTGAAGTAATTTCACAAAAAATAATTGAATATCAATTCAATAAAAAATGTATGTTAATTAATATTTCTAAGCTATAACAAAACTAGTGTACTAAACTAAGTAACGAGAACCCTAAAGACGTAAGTCTTATAATCTAACGATATGTAAAGTGTGAGTGCGTGTTTTACTGATTAGGTGTATAGTAAGTATGGGGTGTATGGTTTGTATGGTGTACCAATGTGTCTAGGTGAGAGTACTATGAATTGAGAACAGCAAAGAGGAATGTAGCGTTATATGAGGATAGCCACTAATTGCTCAATGTCATCATAATTTAGGGATGGAAAAAATATAGTAATA